CCTGGGCTAGGACTGGGTCTGGGGGTTCCTGGAACACAGCAGAATTTCCTACTTGGCGGGCGGGGTGGGGTAGGTCTGCAGAGTGGTTGTGGGTGTCCCAAGGGGGTGGGAGAGGGTCCGGCCCACGCTGCGCCTGGGCTGGGACTGGTCCCACTGGCGCAGGGTAGCAGGAAGCTCTCCCAGATGTGATATCTTGTCTAATACAATATTAGTACAAATATAAATAACACATCATTTTGTTATACAGATGTAGATATAGATAGATACCTAAATAGACAGGTTACACGAGACAGTTAAATAGATATACAGCTATTTTCTCTTACTTCATTAATTGAGAAGAAAACTTAATTTTATTTGGAAGTAAATGCTAGCACACTCTTAAATCTTTAATGCACTTTTGAGCAATTTTGAAAGCTTTATTAACCCTTGTCAATGAACCATTTCCTTTCACCCTAGAACATCAAGTCCCTCCCAAACCCTGTTTCTACTTGTGCTGGAGAGAAATGGAGCACCGTGTGACCTCCCAGGCCTGCTAAGGGTTCTCACAACATGGGCCAGGCCACCCTGAACTGACTGCCCACCAGGGAGAACTCAGGCCTCAGCCAGCTGCAGCAGCAATGACAGTGCCCCGTAGAGGGCAGACAAGGGCATCTTGGCTTCTGGGTGCCAGGTGGACTGGGAGCTCTCCAACTCCATCTTGAGGCCGCACTCCTCCAGCAGGGCACAGGTGATGTGCAAGCCCTCGCCCTGGAGCTGGGCAAGATGCTCTGCTTGGACGGTAAATGGGGTGTGCTGGGAGTACTTGAAGTTTGGCTCTAGGATGCCCCGTACCTAGAAAAATAATCAGATTGTACAGGTGACTGTGGAGAAAAACTTTCTATCCCAACATCTAGGGACCACTGGAGATAACAGAAGAGACAAGGGCCTTCAGGCCAAGCTTTGAGGTGACCAGGTTATTTAGAAATCATTGACCATTGGCTCCTCACTGCAAAAAGGTGATATTAAGCAGACTTTCTACAACAGAAATACTGGGAATCTATAATGTTGTGTGTGTGTGTGTGTGTGTGTGTGTGTGTGTGTGTAATTATATAAACCTATACATGTATAGGTAAACAGCAGGAGAACACAAACTATGTAAATTTTTAAAATGTACAAGAGACATTGCTATTCATTCCTTCAAAATATCTTCCCTCATTTCCAACTCTTTGGTCCTCCTATTCTTCCCAGTCCTAAAAGTCGTCTTTCCTTAGTGTCTTTAGTAGAGCTCTTGTGGCTGCCTCAGTAGCCAGAACATTTTAATGGACTTGAAATGTTGACCTTTCGTGGTGATTTTGACTTTGGGAGGGCTCAGAAGGTGCCCAGTGCTAATCTAGTAAAGGAGAATGAGGACCATGGTATGTTTTCATGCGTCTGTGTTTCCCATGGATAGCGCTCAGCAGTAACATGCACCATACGGCGATCACACCTCCCAAATACATTCAAGAAGACTTTCACTACTGACTCACAAACTGGCCAGAATGATGGAATCAGTGTGTTTGACCCAAATGTCATGATTTGGGGGCAGGGAGTAGTAATGGCAATGTGTCTTTTACTGTAATAACTTTTCAAGTTCAATATTCAACATATAGCGTGACCATACCTCCTGTATGAAGAAAAAGCAATCTGCAAATGGAAACTTTGTAGTAATATCAAAATATATATTATATCTTCTTAGTTCTCACTGACCTGACCCCTGAAGGCATGCTGGAGCCCACTGCAGGTGTGTCCTCAGAAAAAAAAAGACACCCCTAATGGAGACTGAGGCTAAGGAGGCAGATCTCCAGAGTCCTTATTGGGATCTATTGCCCTCCCAGCGAAAGTTGACCCCTCCTCTTCCCCAGAATATCCCTCCTCCTGGATCCCGTACCCTTCTCCCCAGAGTGCTAGAGTCTCAGAATAACTCACCAGCTCTCGTTGCTGAGAAAGAAGTCTCTTCTCCACAGACTGGACCAGTAGGACAAGCTGGGTGTCACTCAGCACTGGGGAAAGGGACATGATACAAAAGGAACGTGATTCAGAGTCTAGACGTTTTTCTCTCACCATGAAGGAGACCCAGTGTCAAGGGGATGCTGAGATAGACTAGTGATTCCTGTTATACTGAAGGTAAAGCATCCTGCACTGGAGCCCTTCTGCTCTGGAGATGATCTCCAGCATGCTAAAGAACATGGTCCAGAGGTGGATTCTGATGGTGGAGGCTGGAACTGTCTGCCTCAGAGATTACATGATCAGGGGTAATTTGCTTGCTGAACCTCGAGCTAAGTCTACATCGCATAGGCAGCTGCCACAGGGAGTTCCCCTGATCTCAGAGAGAAAGGTGTTCTGAGGATGAAGAGCAAGGTAAACAGATGGCTTCTGAGAGCTGGCACCTAATGCTGCCATGTAGAAGACCTGGGATGCATCATGACAACTCCCCCCCCCCCGGCCCTGCAAGTCCTCTTACCCATTAAGACTTCCAGAAGGTAAAAAATGAGGTACTCGAGGTTAATCCAGGTAGGGCTTGATCTCTGTCGGAGCTCATCTAGGATCTTGCCACCAGGGCCATCCAGATGACCCAAGGTTTCCATTTCCCACTACAGAATACAGGTGATCTTGTTAAAAAGTCACATGGTCATTGTCATGTGGGGGCAACATTCCTGATCTTTCACCCTTCCTGGAATCTTAGTCCACACTCCTCCCTCAGGTGCACTGGCAGCCAAATCTCTAAACATCCCCTTTACAGCACCATCTCCCCAGGCAGCAGAGGGAACCTCACCATGTCCATCAGTTTCTTCAGGGCCTCTCTGTCCCCCAGGATGGCCAAGAAAGAATGCAATATGGCATCTCTTCTGTCCTTTGACACCTGGGCCAGTGCCTCCACATTCTCAGAAATCTCCTCTTCCAGGAAACTGAAACCTGTCCTCAGACAATGACCAGAAAGCAGAGGCGTTTCTTTAGTTGGTAGCCATGCACACATAAAATCTTCCCCATACATAGATCCAAATTCCACTGTCCTCAGATCCTGATCAAAATTCACTCTGCACATAGGTTAAATGGTGGCAATGAAACAGAACTAAAAGTTCACAAAGGGGGACAATCTCAGTGCTCTGGAGTTAAGGGATACAATCCTAGGAACAGCCATAAAGATTCTGAAAGCCAAGCAATGAAAGTGGAAGAAAAGGACCAAAGCATCATTTGGGATATCAGAAGTGGTTTAAAATCTAGTGTTCAGTTCTAAATGTGAAAACCCTTGTAGCTCTGTGATCCCTGCCCACAAGTTCTTAAAGGGGATGGCAGGAGGATAAAATGAGTCTCTCTTCCTAAGGTGCCCAGCACATGGAAACTTCCCTTACTGTCTCACATCTGTGCTACCAATTCAATGTCTGAAGAATTGAACATGATCAGATGTTCCAAGATCTCTGATTCTCTCTTGAGGCTTCAGGTGGCCTCAGCTGACCCAGACAGAGTGATTATCCTACTGCTTGCTCTAAAGAAGTGGGCACATCTCCCTGTTTGATTACTTGAGCTATCACAGGTGCAGTAGTAGCTACTGGTAGCAAGTCCACAGCAAGTGCTCTTGCATGCACATATGAATAAACAGACCTAACACACACACACACACACACACACACACACACACACACACACACTTGCACATAGAGCTCAGTCTCCTGAGCATGGACACTTGCAACTTCATTAGTCAACCTTCGGGTTATCAATCAAAAATGCATATTCCCTCCCTCTCATACAACCCTTCAGAAGGTTCCCTTATTCTTGCTTTCAAGAGAACCAAAAATGGCCTTTTCATGGACAAATTTGCTTCACAAAAAGACTGAATAATCTGCAGCTCTTTGTACTCCACATTACTTTTAGACCTCATGTTCCCTCACATATATCCAACCCTCAAACAAACTGGGCTTCCTGCCATTTCCATGGTGCCCAATGTCAAGGCAGAAGACAGAGCAGCCAGGCAAGGGCACATGGAACTCTGGCTAAAGATGGGCTGGCTTAAACAAAAAAAAAAATCATGCCATGCGCACACTGAAATATGTTTTGAAGGAGGGGGCCTTAACTCCAACTTTACGACACAAAAAAGTAGGCCCAGCAAAAAGTAAGTCTCAGAGGTGTGTTTTCCTCATATTCCACCTCTACTTTTCCTGTTCATCTCTTCTCCATCTGCCCCACTCTTGGGCCCACAGGGCCTGATGACGGCCTGGGGCCCAATTGCAAAACAGAGGGCAACAGCAACAAAGGCCTTGCTAGGAGAATTTCCCTTGTGTAGCATGGAAGATCCAATTCTAGTGTCTCTGCATCTCCCAATAGCAAAATTTCAGTGGGACATGAGTGTCCCGACAGGGACAAATGCTGCTCAAATTGGGCCCTGGATATGCACAGCAGCAGATGTGATATCCTTTGCATTTCCTCTGTGCTTTCTTCTCAGAAAGAACCCCCACCCAGGTGCCTCCACTGGGTTCCCACTCACTGGAGGGCGCTGTCCTTTGCTCCGGTTGCTCTTCTTCCAGAAAATTCACACATAAATACTGGACATCACGAGCTGTCAGTGGACCCCACTGCACTGTATGCTGTGCTGCAAGACGAAGGAAAGGGTTTCTCGTGAGAATGTCTCCCTCCTCTTCTTCCCTGAACCTGGAGGTTTTTCTTATGTAGAGCTGAGTACTAGATTTTTACACCACTCCTGGCATTCCCAGAATGATGTTTTGTTTGCATTCTGCTCACCTTTTCAGCCCCTCCAAACTTTCTTTTCTCTCAATATACATTTTCCTACAGAAATTTGTCTAGTCCAACATTCCTCTGCTCATGGATTATCTTCTGGCCATTAAACTGCCCAAAGAGTCCAGATATGGGGACAATCTCAGGGATCTGGAGTTAAGGGAAGGAATCCTGAGAGCAGCCTTAAAGCTTCTGAAATTCAATCAAGAATGTGCAAGAAAAGAAACAAAGCATCATTCTGGGAATGCCAGGAGTGGTGTAAAAATCTAGTACTCTCTACATAAGAAAAACCTCCAGGTTCTGGGATTCGTCAGCACCTGCTCCAAGGAACATGGTGAGGATTAAATGGGTCCATGTTTCTCAGGTTACCAGCACATACAAGCCTCCCTTACTATCTCTCTGCTGTGGCAGAAGTACAATGTCTGAAGAACTGAACAAGTTCGGGTTGTTCCTGTTGCCTCTCCCAAGTGGACTCATGCACGCTAGCATGCTCCAGTGAGAATAAGTGACCAACACAATGCTTGCTTCAAAGAAATGGGGCATTGTCCTGTTTGGTTAATATACATGTCTAGGCTTTCTTTTTCTGATTTTTTTTTATTTTATTTTAGGAAAGGGTCTAAAGGGTGTTCAGAGTCTCACTACCAGATCAGACTCGTAGTAATCCGCCTGTTTACAGCCTTCCAAGAGCTGGGATTACAGGTGCGCACCACCACGCTGAGTCTCAATTGTCTTCTAAAAAAGAAGGGATACAAGAATAACTAACATTGTGGCCCAAGCCCTTCAAGGTCAGTGAGGACTCAGGACATAAGAGAACCTGAACTGTGACATCCTGTAACTCAGTAGTGTCCCAAATTTTCTCATCAAGGAAATTATGGGGCCAGAGAGGAAAGTGTTTGATCATGTAGAGTGTGCCTAAGAAGAGTCACATGGAGAGAAAAAAAATCTCTCAGGCTTTCACAGAGAGCAAAAAATGGTCAAGCAATGGCTGTGACTCATCACAAGGCTAACACAGACAAAAGATCTACAACCTTCTGTACAGGGTTTCAGGGTAAATCCTGAGATTTGACTAACATTGTCAGATACAAAAGCTACACTTTTTGTTATATAGGTCATGCTTTATCTCAGTCTTAACCATTCAGCAAAAAGTATAAATATAAGGTATAAACAGTAAAGCCATATTAACATGCTGAGCTGTAAAAAGCTCAAGTCAACAACTTCTGACACTGCCAGTCCTGCGGATAACCCACTACTATTATAGACTACTGGGCTATATTGGATAACTTTGCTGAATTCAGGCACCTACATTATATGAATTGCAACGGAATACCCATTTCTGCCAAAAGTGAACAAAAAAGGGGGATATAAATGAAGGACCATTTTGGAGTGAAAAAAAGAAAAAAATATATATATATATATCTGTATATACAAAATATTTAGCACAGATATTCACCTACTTTCTCTTAGTTCAATGAGAAGAAAGTTTTTAACTAATAGTGTTTAGACAAGATACCATGTCTGCATCTTGTACTATGAATAACTACTACAAAGACAACATGCAATGTGTTAATTATTGTAACTGTCCTACTAACCTGTTTTGAAACTGTCACACTGCTACTTTTTTCAATAAAATTAATATGTAAAAAAATCAATTGCCTTTCAGCACACCTTTGGGGCTGGGCCAGACAGCAGGCCCAGGAATCAATCCCCGGCCCCTTCATCTGCTTTCAGGTGTTTTAATCTGCTGAACTATCTTGCTGGCCAATCTAGAATTTCTTAATAAAAGCTCCTGCACAAGGAGTCATTAGTCAATGTTCACTGCATGAACATATGGATTGGGTATCTAACCCACATGCCTACTTGGAAGGCGAGCTCAGTCTCCAGAGTTACATAGAGACTTCCAACTTCAGGAGGCAACCTGCAATTTTCTACCCAGAAATCTTGAGCCACTCCCATTAGAAAACATTTCTATAGTCCCAAAGGTTCCTCTATTCTTCCTAGAAAGAGAATCAAATGTTGACATTCTTCATCACCAAATTAACCTTTTAGATACCCTCAAAGTTCTGCCCTTCTGCCAAGTACTCTCCCTGCTGGGCCTCTGTGCTACATCAATGTTACTTCACAGTGCTACCTCACTAGGCTCCCTCCCATCCAATGAAACCCAGAGTAAAAGGAGAGACAGAGACACCAGGCAAAGACAAGTGGCAATCTGGCTGAATATGCACTGACTAGGACCAAAAACTCCACCCCCAGCAAAAAGTGGGACATCTCTTCAAAGAGTGGGCCTTGACTCCAACACTAGAAGACAAAATACAGGCCCACACAGGAATGAGTCTCAAACATTTCTTTGGCCCAAAATCTTCCTCTGCTTTCCAAATTCATCTCTTCATTTACCACTTTCTTAAGCCAAGGATAACCATGATACACAGGAGGTCCACTGGTAAAGCAGTACATAATGTCACCAAAGCCATCACCAGGTGGATTCCCCTTGTGTAGCCTGCAGAATCCAGTACTACTGGCAACATTCCAGGGGTAAAGCCTGCTCCAACTTAGCCTTGTATGTGCAAAATAGCAAGCGTGGTACCCAATGGCCTGTGCTTCCCTCTTTCTAATCGGAAGGAAAGCCCACCCAGCTACCTCCATGGGGACCCAGTTCACCAAAGGATCCACAACTTGGCTCCTCTTCTTCTTCGTCTTCTTCTTCAGAATTATCAGAGAGATTTAGAGAAGCAAGAGGGGCAATTCGAGGTCTCAGCCCTGCATGAAATTGTGCTGCAAAACAAATGGATGTGTTCTATTATGAGACTGAGTCTCCACTAAACTTCCACCTTCTTTCCATTCTTCCCTATTCTGCCCAATTTTCCAGCTCCTCCCCACTTTCTCCTCTCTCGCTATACACTTCAATACAGAAATATCTCTAGTCAAACCTTCCTCTGCTCACAGATTAGGCTCTGGCCACAAAACCGTCATATGGGTCCAGAAATGGGGGCAATCTCAGGGCTCTGGGTTTAAGAGATAAAATCCTGGGAGGAGCCTTAATGCTTCTGAAAGTCAATATTAAATGTGGAAGAAAGTAAAAAAACCATCATTCTTGGAATTCCCAGAGTGGTATAAAGTGTAGTCCTCAGCTCTTCATACGAAAATCCTCAGGGCTCTGGAATCCCTGATTACACCTGCTCAAAGGGGACATGGTGGGAATTAAATGTGTCTTGTGTGTAACATGCCCAGCACATAGCAGCCTCACCTACACTCTCTCAGTTCTACCAAGGATTCGATGTCTGAAGAAGAATTAAAATGTTCAGGGCATTCCCAGCTCTCTGATCCTCCCATGGGACTTCAGGTGGCCTTAGATGATCTGGGGAGAGTGACCATGCACTGCATGCTCCAAAGAAGAAGACAAGCTTCCATGTTTGGTGTGGTGATAGTGACTGCTGCCAGGGATTCCTCCAAATGTGTTCCATGCGTGCAGGTATGAATAAACACCCCCAACCAACACGAACACTTGGAGGGAGAGCTCACTGTCCTAAGTTGCACAGACACTTCCAAGTTCAGTGGGCAAGCTTCAAGTTCTCGCCCTAAAATCCAGATTCCCTCATTCTTGATAAAAACTTCAGAAGTTTTCCTCTATTCTTCCTTTCAAGAGAACCCAAAAATGACCTTCTTCATGAACAAATTTGCTTCAAAAAAACACTGGAGGGTGTGCAGCCCCAAGTACCACTATTTAGCCTCAGGCATCCTCCACGTGCATGGTTGCCTCACTCCTGATACCACACTGGCTCCCTGCCTTCCCTTTCCATAACAGCCAGAATCAAGGCAGAGGACAAGGCAGCCAGTCAAGGGCAAGTTGTACTCTGCCCCAATATGTACTGGCTGGGACCAACATACCCACTCCCACTACCACCTCACTCTGCTATGTGAAGAATGGTTTCTGCAAATTTTTTCTCTGCTTCTTCTGTCCAATTCTTCTCCATCTGTCCCTCTCCTGCACTCACAGGGCCAGATGACAGTCTCAGGTCCCCCCACCACCACCAAAAGAAAAAAACAGAGGATAATGGCAACAAAGGCACCACCAGGTGGATTCCTGTTGTAGACCCTGCAGAATCAGTTCTCCTGGCAACATTTCAGTGGAAAATGGGTGCCCAGACAAGGACAAAGCCTGCTCAAACTGGGCCCTGGATATGCATAGCAGCAGAGGTGGTACCCACTGGCTAGTCCTTGCCTCTTTCTCCTCATTAGAGAACCCTATGCTGCTACCTCTCTGGGGTTCCAGCTCACCAGAGGATCCTCTCCTGAGCTCCTGTTGCTTTTCTTCTGAAGAATTATCAGAAACATAATGGAGGTCAGCCGATAATCTACCACAAAAACCCGCTCCAGATTGTGCTGCAAAACAAAGGGAAGGGTTCTCTCATGAGACTGAGTCTCCCTCCCCTTCTTCAAATGTCTCCAGTTATATATGCTTCTGCTCATGGAGTAGCCCCTGGCCATAAAACTCTCTTAAGAGCCCAGAATGGGGTCAATCTCAGGGCTGTGGAATTAAGGGATGAAATCCTGGGCACAATCTGCAAGTTTCTGAACATCAATCTTGAATGTGGAGGAAAAGGAAAAAGCCATCATTCTGGAAAGCCAGGAGTGGTGTAAAATGTAGTGCTCAGCTCTCAAAATGAAAATCCTTTGGGCTCTGGGTTCGTGGACCACACCTGCTCAAAGGGGACATGGTGAAAATTCAACGTGTCTGTGCTTGTAAGGTGCTCAGCACTTAGGCGCCTCCCCTACTTTCTTTCATCTGTGCCAGTGGTTCAAAGTCTGAAGAACAATTAAAACGTTCAGGTCACTCCCAGTTCTCTGACTCTCAAGTGAGACTTTAGGTGGCCTCATGTGAGACAGGGAGAGCGATCACCATACAGCATGCTCCAAAGAAGAGGACCAGTGTTCCTGTTTCGTTGCTTGAAGGAGCACAGGTGTGGTACTGGTGACTGCTGCTCAGGGATTCCTCCACAGTGTTCCTTGAGCACATACAGATAAACACACCCAAAAAACCACACACACACACACACACTTGCTGGTAGAGCTCTGAGTCCTGATTTCCACGGGCATGTCCAAGTTCAGGGGGCCAGCTTCACTTTCTCACCCAAATATCCAAATTCCCTCCCTCTTGATAAAAACTTCAGAAGATTTCCTCCATTCTACCTTTCAAGAAAAACCAAAAGTGACCTTCTTCATGGACATATTCGCTTCACAGAAACAATGGTGTGCAGCCCCTCGTACTCTTCACAGCTATTTAGCCTCAGGCATCTTGCACATGAATGGTTCCACCATCCCTCTACCACACTGGCTCCCTGCCTTCCCTTTCCTTGGCAGCCAGAGTCAAGGCAGAGGACAGAGCAGCCAGGCAAGGGCAAGTTGCACTCTGCCGCAGTATGTACTGGCTGGGACCAACATACCCACCCGCAGTACAAACTCACCCTGCTATGTGAAGAATGGAGCTTAACTCCAAGTCTAGAAAGGCAAAATAAACCCCACACGGGAGTGAGTCTCAAAGGTGTGACTTCCACAAATTCTTCCTCAGCATTCTCTGTCCAACTCTTCTCAATCTGCCCTATCCTGTGTCCACAGGCCCTCATGATGACCTGGGGCCCAATGTCAAAACAGAGGGTAATTGCAACAAAGGCATCCCTAAGTGGATTCCCCTTGTATAGCCTGCAGAAACCAGTTCTGGCAACATTTTCATTGGAAAGTAAGGGCCCAGACAGGGACAAAGGCTGCTCCCACTGGGACCTGGATGTGCACAGCAGCACAGGTAGTACCCACTGGCCAGTCCTTGCCTCTTTCTCTTCATTAGGAAAAACTACACTGCTACCTCCCTGGGGTTCCAACTCACGGGAGGAGGCTCTCCTTAGCTCCTGTTGCTCCTCTTCTGCAGAATTATCAAAGGCACTCAGGAAGGGATATGGTGCAGTGTGAGGCCTGCTCAATCGATGAGCGTATGCTGCAAAACAAAGAGAAGTGTTCCCTCATGAGGCTGAGTCTCCCTCCCCTTCTGCCCTCTTTCTATTCTTCCCTGTTCTGCTTACTTTTCCAGCTCCTCCCACTCTCTTCTCTCTCACTATACACTTCAATGCAGAAATGTTTCTAGTCAAATATTCCTCTGCTCATGGATTAGCTTCTCACCATGAAACTCTCCTAAGGGTCCAGAAATGAGGTCAGTTTTAGGGCTCTGGAGTTAAGGGATGGAATCCTGGGAGCAACCTTAAGCTTCTGAAAGTCAATCATGAATGTGGAGGAAAGAAACAAACCATCATCCTGGGAATGCCAGGGGTGGCGTAAAACAAAGTACCCAATTCTACATGTGGAAATCCTCATTGCTCTGGAATTCCTGACCACATCTGCTTAAAGGGAACATGGTGGAAATTAAATATGTCTGTGTTTGTAAGGTGCCCAGCACACTGGACCTTCGCCTACCCTCCCTCAGTTGTGCCTACAGTTCAATATCTGAAGAAGAATTAAAATATTCAGGATGTTCCCAGCTGTCTGATTCTCCCATGAGACTTCAGGTGGCCTCAGATGATCCAGGTAGAGCGATCATCACTCTGCATGCTCTAAAGAAGAGGACCAGCTTTCTTTGCTAGCGCTCATCATGTGGATGCAACAGGCGGGGCCACACTATGCAGAACAATCTGGCGAGTTCCTGGACTCATCCGTGCTGTGGAAATGCTCCGCCAGCAATCGGATCATTGGAGCCAAGGACCACGCATCCATCCAGATGAACATGGCCGAGGTCGACAAGGTCACAGGTAGATTCAACGGCCAGTTTAAAACCTACACTATCTGCAGTGCTATTCGAAAGATGGGTGAATCAGGTGATTCCATTCTAAGATTGGTCAAGGCCGATGGCATCATCTCAAAGAACTTCTGAGTGGAGAGAGTTGTGGATGTGGAATGTCTGCTGAAATAGTCAGGATGTAAAAAAATAAAATAAGATAAAATAAAAATAAAGAAGATGACCGGTTTCCATGTTTGATAACTTGAAGGATCGCAGGTGCAGTAACACTGACTGTTTCAGTCGGATAAGCACTTGACTGCAAATGCAAGGATCTGAGTTCAATCCCTGGTTCTGCCAAAAAAAAAAAAAAAAAAAAAAAAAAAAAAAAAAAAAAAAAAAAACACTGCCTGCTGCCCAGCAATTGCTCAGAAAGTGTTTCCTGCATGCAGATATGAATAAACACACCCAACCAGCATCTGCACTTAGTGGGAGGGTTCTGCATCCTGAGTTGCATGGACACTTCCAAGTTCAGTGGGAAAGCTCAGTTTCTCACCCAAAATCCAGATTCCTTAACTCCTAATAAAACTTCAGAAGGTTTCCTCTATTCCTCCTTTCAAAATGAAGCCAAAAATTATCTTCTTCATGGACAAAGTTTCCTCATGGAAACAATGGAGGGTTTGCAGCCCTAGGTACCCTTCACTGAGGGTTTGCAGCCCTAGGTACCCTTCACTGTTGTTTAAGCCAGGCATCCTCCATGTGTATGGTGCCTTCATCCCGCTACCACACGGGGCTCCCTGCCTTCCCTTTCCTTGACAGCCAGAGTCAAGACAGAGGACAGAGCAGCCAGGAAAGGGCAACTTGCTCTCTGCCCCAATGTGTACTGGCTGGGACCAACATTCTCACCTCCAGTACAGACTGACTCCCCTATGAGAAGAGTGGAACTTAACACCAAAGAGGAAAAGTAAGCCCCACACAAGAGTGAGTCTCAAAAGTGCAATTTCCACAAGCTCTTCCTCTGCTTTGTCAGTATAAGTCTTCTCCATTTGTCCCTCACACACTCCCCCATGGCCTGAGGATGGCCTGGGGCCCAATGGCAAAATGGAGAGTAATGGCAACAAAGGCATTTCCAGGTGGATTCCCCTTGTGTAGCCTGCAAAATCCAGTTCACTGGTAACATTTCAGTGCAAAATGAGTGCCCAGATGGGACAAAGGCTGCTGCAACTGGGCCCTGGATGTGCACAGCAGCAGAGGTAATACCCACTTCCCCATCCTTGCCTCTTTCCCCTCCAGAGGAAACCCTGCCCAGCTGCCTGCCTGGGGTTCCAGCTCGCCGGAGGGTCCTCTCCTCAGCTCCTGTTGCTCTTCTGGGGCATTATGAAAGATTTTCTTGAAGGCAGTCAATGTCTTGCGAAGATGCAGCACTGAAAAACGTTGTGCTGTAAAACAGAAGGAAGTGTTTCCTCACGAGACTGAGTCCCCTCTCTTTGCTCCTTCTTTCCGTTCTCCCACATTCTCATCACATTTCCACCTCCTCACCACTTTCTTCTCTTTCATTATACATTTCAATACAGAAATGTCCCTAGTCAAACACTTCTCTGCCCATGAAGTAGGCTCTGGCCATGAAACTGTCATGTGGATCCAGAAAGGGGAACAATCTCAAGGCTCTGGAGATTTAGATGGAATCTTGGGAGCAGCCTTAAACCTTCTGAAAATCAATCATGAATAGGAGGAAAAGGAAAAAAAAAACAAAAACAAAACATCATTCCGGGAATGCCGGGAGTGACTTAAAATGGAGTACTCAGCTCTACCTATGAAAATCCTTGGTGATCTGGGATCCCTGTGCACACCTGCTCAAAGGGGACACAGTTGGAATTAAAGATCTCCACGTTTGTATCATGCCCAGCATGTACAAGCTTCGCCTGCTCTCGCTCAGCTGTGCCAGTGATTCAGTGTCTGAAGAACTGAAGAAGTTCAGGATTTTCCTAGTTCTGTGCTTCTCCCAAGTGGATCCATGCGCCCCAGGATGATCTAATGGGAGTGAGTGATCACACAGTACTTGCTCCAAAGAAGTGGGCCTGTCTTCCTGTTTAACTAATGGACTCTTTATATAGACTCCTGCACTCAGAGTCATCAGTGAATGTTCCTTGCATGCATTTTTTAATAAGTGCATGTAACCAGTATGGTCACATGGAAGGCAAGCTCAGTCTGCTGAGTTACATACAGATTTCCAATGTGAGAAAGCAACCTGTAGTTTCTACTCAGAAATTCAGATTCTCTCTCTCTCTCTCTCTCTCTCTCTCTCTCTCTCAGTCAACATTTACCTTGCTCCACAGGTGCATCTATTTTTCCAACAAAGAGAGTCAAAAATAGCCCTTTTTCATCCTCATATTTGCCTTTGACATACCATGGCAGAACTGCTCTCAACCAAGTACTCTCCTCGCCCTGACTACAGGTTGTCTCCATTTGGCTGCACAGTCTACCTCACTGGACTCCCTGGCCCGCCCATTCCATGACATCCAGAGTGAGGGAAGAAGAGACACCAAGCAATGGACAGATGCACTCTGCCTGAATATGAGCTGGCTAGGACCAACATTACCACCCCGAGCACACACTAGCACATCTCCTCAAGGAGTGGGCCTTATCTCTACAGTAGAAAACACAAAATTGGACCCACCAAGAGTGAGATTTAAAGCTTTGCTTTCTCAAAACTTTAACTCTGCTTTCTCCATCCCTATCTTCTTTTGCCCGTCTCTTAAGCCCAGGAGCCCAATTATGGTCATGGGGTCCCACAGCAAAACAATGAGTACATCAGCAAAGGCATCACCAGGTGGATTCCCCTTGTATGGACTGAAGAATCCAGTTCTAGAGTCTGCTCCTCTGCCATGGGCAACATTTCAGCTGAGCCATGGGAGGAGGTGGCTGTGGGTCATGATAAATTATTGATAGGTCAGAATAAAATGATGCATATACTGCACCCCAGGCAGGCAGAGTAGCAGAAGTGGTAACCACTAGACTTTCTTCTGCTCTTTCTCCTCAGGAGAAGGAAGCCCCACACAGCTACCCCCGTGGCTTTCTGCTCACTGGAGGGTTCTGCCCCTGGCTGCTGTTCTTTTTCTGTGAGTACATTTCCTGGGGAAGGCTCCACTGCAGATTGTGTTCTTCTGATTTTCCTTCTTGGTCGAACTGGAAAGACAAAGGGAACATTCACTCACAAGGCTTAGGTTCTCTGTCTCTTTCCCATTTCTATTTTTCCCTGTTTCTGTTCTTCCTTGTTCTGCTCACTTTCCACCTCCTCCTCACTTGTTCTTCTTTCTCACTGTGCATTTCAATACAGAAATTTCGCCTGGTAACTTTCTCTCAGCCCATGGCTTAGACTCCACCACTGAAATTATCCTAAGTGTCTAGAGAGGTAGGCAATATCAGCACTCTGGGTGTAGGGGTTAGAATCTTGGAGGAGACAGAGATTCTGAATATCAATCACTGAGGGTGGAATAAAAGGATCAACATGGGATTCTGGGATAGTCAGGAAGGCATTACAATCTAGTACTGAACTCTACATCTGAAAATCAGTGGTGCTCTGGGATCCCTGTACACATCTGCTTAAAGGGGACATAGTGAGGATTAAATGAGTCTGTGTTTCTAAGGTGACAAGTGCATAGGAGCCTCGCTTGCTACCTTTCAGCTATGCCAGCAATTTACTGTCTGAAGAATTGAACAAGTTCAGGTTGTTCCTAGTGTTCTGCTTGTCACAAGAAGATACATGGGGCCTAGGGTGATCCAACAAGAGTGAGTGGCCACCACAGTGCTTGCTCCAAAGAAGTGGGTCCATCTCCCTGATTGATTAATGGACATATCTAGGGTTTCTTAATATGGACTCCTGCCCAGGGAGTCTCAGTGCATGTTCCTTGCATGCATGTATGAATAGGGGCATGTAACCAATGTGTATACATGGATGGCAAGCTCAATCTCCTGAGTCACATGCAGACTTCCAACATCAGAAGGCAACCTGCAGCTTCCTACCTGGAAATCCAGATTCACTCTCTTCATAAACACATATGTTCCCAAAAGATTCCTCTGTTCCTAATACACAGATAATAAAAAACAGCCCTTTTTCATCCCCAAATTTGCCTTTGCGATACCAGGGAAGTGCTTATTCCACTGAGCCATCTCCCTGGCCCCTTTGCCTTTGAGATACCATGGAAGGATGGCCCACTGACCCCCTGCTCTTTCTCCTTGGATCCTGGCTATCCTCATTTGGCTCCACAGTCTGTTTCCATGAAACCCAGAGTCAAAACAGAAGACAGAGACACCAGGCAAAGGCAAGTTGCACTCTGGCTGACTACGTCTGGGAAGGATTAACAAAACCACCCCAGCACCCACTGCCACATCTATTGAAGGAGAGGGCCTTACCTCCAACTCTAGAAGACAAAAGAACAGGCCAACCAAGACTGAGCTTCAGAGGTTTGCTTTCCCAAACTCTGCCTCTTCTTCCTCTGTCCCTCTCTACATTTGCCCATCTCTTAAACCCAGGGTCCCAATTATGGACATGGAGTCCCACAGCAAAACAATGGGTATGTCAGCAAAGGCATCATCACGTGGATTCTCCTTGGGTGGGTTGAAGGATCCAGTGCTAGTGTCTGCTCCTCTCCCATGGGCAACATTTCAGCTGGGTCATGGGAGGAGGTCCCTGTGTGTTGTGGCGAATTTGTGACAGGTCAGAATAAAATGATGCATATACTGCACCCCAGGCAGGCAGAGCAACAGGGGTGGTAACCACTGGCCTTTCTTGTGCACTTTCTCCTCAGGAGAAGGAAGCCCCACACAGCTGCCCCCTTGGCTTTCTGCTCACCAGAGGGTTCTGCCCTTGGCTGCTGTTCCTCTTCTGTGTGCACATTTCCAGGGGAACGCTCCAGTGCACATTGTCCACTTTTGACTTTCTTTCTCCGTTGAACTGGAAAGACAAAGGACAATGTTCACTCATGAGGCTTAGGCTCTCTGTCTCTTCCTCATTTCCATTCCTTCTCATTTCTGTTCTTCCTTGTTCTGCTCATTTTCCACATCTTCCTCACTTACTCTTCTTTCTCAGTGTGCATTTCAATACAGAAATTTCTCCTGTTAACGTTCTCTCAGTTCATGGCTTAGGCTTTACCACTGAAACTGTCATAAGAGCCTAGAGAGGTGGGTAATCTCAGTGCTGTGGATGTAGGGGATAGAATCCTGGAGTAGCCATAGAGATTCTCAATATCATCACTGAGAGTTCAAGAAAAGGGCCAATGTAGGATTCTGGGATAGTCAGGAGTGGTGTAAAATCTAGTTCTCAGCTACAGAAATGAAAATCCTTGTCCATAGCTATACCACCCTGCCTGTGCTCATCCTCAGTGCTGTGACTTCTATGTCCACAGTTGCTCAATGGGTACATGGTAGGCATTAAATGAGTCTGTGCATGCAAGGTGCCCAGCACATTGGAGCCTCCCTTTCTACCTCTCAGCTGTGCCAGCAATTCAATTGAATTGAAAAAGTTCATGATGTTTCTAGTTCTCTAACTCTCCCAAGAAGATCTGCATGGCCTCTGGTGATTCAAGGAGAGAGAGACTGACCACTGCAGTGCAGAAGTGGGCCCATCTCTCTTTTTGATTACCTGACACTTGTCAGTTGTGCCAATCGTGACTGCTGCCCAGCCATTCCTCAGTAAGTGTTCCTTGAATGCACACATGAATCAACAGACCTAACACACACACTAGGAGGTAGAACCTGGTCTCCTGTGATTCATGGGCTCTGCCAACTTGAGTAGGCCATCTTCAGTTTCCCACTCAGAATCCCAGATTTCCTTGCTCTTAATAAGCACTTACCTTGCTGCAAAGGTTTCTTTATTATTCCTAGAAAGAGAAACAAAAAGACCATCTTTATCCCAAGATTTTCTCCTGAGAAACCCTGTAGGGTCTTCTCTCCCTCCTACTCCTCCCTCCTGTCTGTCTTTTCTGGTGTCTTTGCATTAGTCCATCCCCCTACCTCACCAGGCTCTCTGGCACTCCCATTCCATGGCATCCAGAGTTAAGGGAGAGCACAGAACAGGCAGGGAAGAGCAAGTTGCACTGGGGGTGCAATATATTTTGGTTTTGACACATATCCTACCCCCAACACTCACTCACTCATCTGTTGAATGAGCAGGCCTCAACTCCCACTCTAGAAAGAGAAGAGAAAGCCCCACACTAGAGTGAGTGAGTCTCAAAGGTTAGCCTTTTCCACATTCTGCCTCTGCTTTCTCTGTCCCTCTCTTCATCTGCCCCTATCCTACACCCACAGGGCCTGATTTTGCCCAAGGTTCTGATGGCAAAACAGTGGATTATAGTAACAAACAGATTGTCAAGTGAATAGCCCTTGTGCATACCAGAGGATCCATTTCTAGTGTCACTCCATCTCTCACTGGCAACATTTCACCTTGTCCATGGAAAAAGGTGGCCATTGGTGGTGGGAATTGTGTGGCCACACAGGGAGAAACACTGCTTATCCACCTCCCTGGACTGGCAGAGCAGTAGAGTGGTACCCACTGGCCTTTCATCTGCTCTTTCTCCTCAGGAGAAGTAACTCCCACCAAGCTGCCTCCCTTTGCTTCCTGCTCACTGGAGAGTTTTCTCAGTGGCTCCTGTTTCTCTTCTATGTGAACATATCCTCCTGAAGGCTAGATTTAGCTTAGCCCATCCTCCACACTTCATTATGGGCTGCACTAGAAAGAAAAAGCCATGCGTTTCTTCATGAGACTTAATATCTGTCCCCTTCTCTCCTTCCATTCTTTCCTATTCTGCTCAGCTTTCCGTCTTCTCCCCATTTCCGCTGGTTCCTCACTATGCCATAGAGTAATTTGTCTAGCTGGAAAGCCCTAGAGAATCTGCTTCTTATCCCTGATTTCCCTGTGGCCCCTAGAGTCTGTAGCTGTGTTGAAGAAGAGACTGGTGACAGGGGAAGAGAAGTCTGGCATGAAAAGAATTCCTGTGTCCCAAACCAAGTAAAGCTCATGTGGCACCCAAAAGGGCCAGGACTCCACAGGGTATTGGGACTCACCACACTGAAAGGTCTTCTGCTTTGTGTCATCAATTACAAGTATGCCTGAATGGAGAAGAAACCAGATTAGTACCAAAGCTCATCAAATCAGAAGCCCCTGGGTCTCATGAATCAGATCCTGTGAAGTCTCCACTTAAATAAGCATGTTAAATGAGCATCATTGTGCCCTCCAACATTCATGAGGTCAGAGATAAGCTTCCGCCTCCTGTCCCATCTTGTCAATAGCTTTCTTGTAAACCTTTTCTCAGCATTCTGATGTTTCCTTCCCCACTCCCAGTCTTGTAACCTTTGGTAAGTAGCTTTCATCTATGGAAACGTGCTGAGGTGTTAAACTTCTCTAGCACCAGTTTAAATTCCTGCCACAGTAAAAGAACCCAGGAAAAAGACACAGAAGTTTCCAAATGTTGGCAAGGGTGAACTGAATGAATTCAGGCAAAAGAGACTAGAGGGAGGACTAGAGAGTCCCTGCAAGTCACTCTGTGACCACCAGGAAACACTAGGTCATCTCTGTTTATACAGTTAGTGTCTAGTGCAGACAATAAGAATCAAAGTGTACAATGTTTGACTTCTGAGAATGTACTTAAACTTCATAAAAAATCTAAAGGAACGTAGCATGCAGAGTGATATAACATTTTGCCACAGCACTGGCCAGTGACTTCGAGGAGAACTAGAATCCTTATGAGTGTTTGCCTTCTCATCTATAAAATGGAAATGAGCCGTCATCTCTGAGCAGACATGGGGAACTGAGGCACATCCGGGGATGTGGCTGACCTGAGTTCAGTCTATTTGGTTCACCAAGATGCATCCTGGCCTGGCAGAGAGGTTCAGCCTCTGCCCACTTTTGCAGCCACCTACTGCCACCGCCCCCTCCAGGTGTAGTTCCTCTCCCCTCCACAAACATCCATCCCCCTAGGTCTGCGCTGTGTCCTCCCTTCTACCTGTGTTCCCACCTCAGTCCCTGCAGTTCAGCCTCCAGGAAAATCCCCTGGCCTTGACCTCCAAGGAATGTACACTTGATTCTTCCTGCATAGCAAACCACCACGATCTCTGGGGTTTCTAATCAGACCGTTTAGTTTAGTTTAGTTTAGTTTAGTTTAGTCTAGTTTAGTTTAGTTTTATGCATTTTAATACAGGGTCTACAGAGTCTTATTGCACAGATCGGACTCATTGTGATCCTCCTGTTTTCAAACTCTCAAGTGCTGGGATTACAGTCAGGCACCACCACGCCCAGTCTTAGTTGCCCGCCTCAGGGTCAGGACCAGCACAGCACCTGGGGTCAAACCCCAGTCACTGTGCATGCCTAAACCGCCTAAACCGGAGCTTTAGACCATTTAGTTTTGTTTCATTGTTGCTCATATTTCTCCCATCCAAGTACTAACCTGGCCTGACCCTGCTTAGCTTCCGAAATCAGACAGGATCGGGCACATTCAGGGTAGCATAGCCATAGATTGATGTTCATATTTTGGAAAGTAGGCTCCTTCTTATCTCCTCCCTAAGGTATAAGTACCTTGTGATTCTCTTCATCTTTACTAGCACTGCCAGCTCCTGGGGCCTGAGCAGTTGTCTCTGACCTCTTTCTCTCCTCCTCCTGAGCCCAAGGGAGATCTCACTATGTTCAGAGCTCTTCCATGGGAAGCAAGAGTCTACTAATGGCTCTAGGACAGAGTCCAGCCTCCTTCTGTCTATTGCCACTGGCAGGTGTTGGCACCAGCACCCTCCCTTGACCAGAATTTGCAGGAGGTCAGAGACCCAGGACTCCGAGCCGTACTCCCTCCTGCAAGCATCACACACAGACAGATCTGTGCATGGGGAATCAGGAGGGGGAGTGCTTCTGGGGGACAGTGAGGTGGGAAGATGGAGATACAGTCCTGACTTATGTTGTTAGGACATTGCCAGATGATGTGTTTGTGATTATGTTGTTCTTATCTCCTTGACCTTTGGTGTGAATTTATGGGTCTGCTGAGAGGGTTGGTGGCTCCCCCTGCCAAGCTGCTGAGTGCAGCAGAACATTGAATGACTAGAGATGCTGGGATTAGGAACAGACTTTGCTGAGTGCTGATGACATCTCCAAACAGGGCACTCCAAGAGGATACACTCCCACAGAGGAAAGAGTCTCTGCATCTCCCCCAGCAAATTTTAGTCAGGCCATGTGAGGAGGTGACTGTCAGTTTTGGGACACCTGTGTATCCCAGACAGGGAGAAACACTGCCTATCTCGCTCACTGGACAGAGAGAGCCACAGAGGCTGCACAGTGGCCTTTCTTCTGTTCTGTCTCTCTCAGCCTAAGGCACCCCTCCCGCTCTCAGTTCATGCTTACTGCAGTATCTGTCCTTGATGACCAGCTTCTTCTTCCTGTAGGCCATCACTGTGCCCTGAGGGACAGTCATGGTTGCCGCCCTCTGATCTTTTCCCTGGCCTTCACCCTAGGAAGAGAAAACAGTGCTCAGTTCTTTTGAAACACAAATATCATTTTATTTATTTATTTATTTATTTGAATCAGAAGTTGAAGTCAGGACCTTGTGCCTGTCAGGCAGATGCTTATGCCACTGATCTGCGTTCCCAGCCACAGTAACATGTGCATGCACTGTGAAACTCAAATACATCTAGGAAGCGCATGGAGAAAAGCACCAACCTGCTCCCACCCTGCTCCCAGTCTCCTACCTGCTCCCACCCTGTCTTCCTTGTTATTCCCAGCTTTTGCTTTTTCCAGTGAGTACATGTATCAATTGTTATATGGCAGTGTTTTGAGTTTTGCCAAAAAAATTTACAATTAGCTTTCTCTTTTTGCGGAAATGGATCGCATTTTCTACGCTTCCCTCATCGCTTCCCCTCACTTCACCCTCAGCCTCAGGAAAGATTCAGATCCTGAGGTCATGTACATTCGTGTCCACTGTCTATGTCGGGGACACTGCTTTTCCTAGTTGCAGATCTTGCCTTCCGTCACTTGATGCATTCTCTCCAGGAAAGATGGGGACATGACTTTAGGACCTTGGATACCTGAAGACATCTTTGACTCACATTTTATTACTGCGCTGATTGGACAAGAAATGCTAGGCTGAATTTATTTGACATAATAGGGTTTGTGGTTTTTTTTCTTTAGAAAAAGGTACAATTTCCTTTTGGAGAAAAGTGTTCTAAAACTTCGCATTCACACTCTGTGGTGTGGATCTAGACAGCCTCAGCGAGCTTTGATCCCATAACCTGGGTGGAGCCTGGGCCTCCCCGCGGACTAATTCACCAACTGTGGGAAAGGAAATGTGCATCTCAGGTTTCTCTTTAACTCTGAAGCTCTAGAGAGGGGACCAAATTATACAGGAAACATAGTGTGGCGAAAGGCATAAGGATCTAGCTATACAGTCTGAGGAAGCAGTTGAGAAATCAATTCGTTTATATTAATTAAAGCACTATATTTGGTCATTGTGAGTAAACTATGTAAATTGTGCATCCTTGAAAGTACTGGATTCTCACTCCTTAAAGCATTTCTTATGAGATTGTCACAGAATTAAAGTTACTTTAATGACTGAAGTTCAGTGTTATTGGCGGCTTATTTCTTCCAGTCAGGAAACTGGATGTGTACTTGGAACCAAATATTTACATTACATATTTTAGAATATGTTATTTACCCAAAAAAAAAAAATCAAACACCAAAGACAGGTATGGTGGCTCAGACCTGTAAATCCAACACTCTGAGTGACTAAGGCAGGAGGGTTGCAAGTTCCACCCAGCCAAGGCAACTTAGCAATTTACCAAGACCTCTGAAAATTACAGACAATAAGAGGCTGGGTATGCAGCTCAATGGGAAGGTCCCAGGTTCAATACCCAATATTACAAAAGTAATATAAATTAAATACTAACTAATTAAATCTATTTTTCATTTTACCAATGCTGAACAATTCTAGGCATCAGCATCATCCATGAGGGTTTTACAATTATGCCCCTAGTCAGAGGGCAGGAGATCGTGACCCAAGAGCAGTAGTATGTAATGAGCAGACACCTCTATCACCACCAGAGCAGGTTCTGACTGGACTGATTGATTAAGCCCCTTAGGAAATAGTAAGCTGCCTAGGCTGGCTGCATTCTGGCCTCCCCATTCCTTACCTGGACAAAAGGAACCTGAGTAACATGTACATTTGCTGAAAAAGTCACACTGCTGTTGTCACACAGAACAGTATCTTTGGCCAATTCAATAGCTTCTGTCACCACATAGAGGTTGTCCCCTCTTCTTCGGCAAATTTTCAAAAATGATGGCTCTGGATCCACCAGCTTCCTGAGGGCACATGAAGAGTAAAGCTCAGAGTGGGTGTTGTGGTGGCCTGCAGCATGTTCCAGGTCACACCTAGAAGGATTTCAGTGCTTTTGACAGTGTGGCCTAGAGGAGTACGTTCATGTTGGATCCAGAGATTGAGGTGCCTAGGGAAAAGAAGATCTTTGCTAGGAGCATGGAAATGACTCCCTTTTTTAATGGCAGTGTAGGTGTGAGAGTGTGTGTCTGGTGATGTTTAGGCTACTTGCATTTTACTAAATTACACTGGTCCCAGTAAAGGACAGTTTATAAATTTCACACCTAAGACCCCTCACAGGTCAGAAGTAGATGGGTCCAAATGATTAAGAAGAGTCCTGAGCAGGCCCTATTTTCAAAGTTGAGTGTCCACACTAACATGCCCAGGTTATAAGCAGGGTGGGCTATGGAATAGAACAAGTACTGCCAGGCATGGTGGGGCATGCCTGTGGTCCCAGTACTTGGGGAGCTGAGAAGCTGAGGCAGGAGGATAGCAGTAAGCTCAAGGTCAGCATGGGCTACACAGTGAGTTCAAGGCAAGCCTGAGTAACATAGGTAGACCCAGTCTCAAAAAAAAAAAAAGGATGACCTAGGAGGGAGGAAGCTGCTTGGCTTTATGAGAAACATGGGTGAGATTTTAAGGACTGACCATCCACATGAAGTAGGTTGGTGGATGACACAAGCATGTAGTTCTGAAGAATGAGACAGTGTCTCAGTTATGTTCTCTCATTACTGACACAAAATACCTATCACCTAAAATTTAGGAAGGAAAGTTTTATTTAGCTCACAGTTTGTGGAGGTTTCAGCCTACACTCAGCTGGCTCCAAGACAGCATGGCACATGGCAGAAGGCAGCAGTTCTTGACGGCAGAAAACAGCAAAGCAGGAAGAGCAAAAAGGGAGGAGCAGTGGCAGCCAGGGCAGAGGCAGAGGGTAAGCCTCTGTCCCTTCCATACATTGTATTCAGGTCACCCCAGGGCAGGCCACTTACCCATGATCTCAGTGTTGCATTATGAATTAAACACAAACTCTAGAAGTCCGGCTCAGTGACTGCATGAGGCTTTGGGGGTACAACTAGACCAAAACCATAACAGACAGGATTGAAATATTATGAGCAGATTGTGCTTCGTTTAGTTCTGAGACTCAATTTTAAGTCGATGCAAAATCCCAGTGGAGTTGGGATCCTGGTGTCACATTCATGCGGAACACAAGAGTTCGTTAATATGCTCCGTGGAGGAAGTCACAGAGCATCAAGTGCAGGAGCTAGGATTTCCCCTTGACACTGGAGGGAATTCAAGCCCCTTACCATGTCTCCAATAGTGGACTCAATCAAGCAAACAATAAATCAATAAACTCAAAAAAAATTAAATGAAACCACCTATCCAGAAGATCAAAAAGAAAAACAATTACAAGGAGTGAACGTTTACAGGATTTGTGGAATATCATGAAGAAAGACAATATACAACATTTGTTCACATGGATTAAAAAGAAATAAAGTTTATTTAAAGAAATAATAGACTAGGACGACTAATTCATCTGTGTGAGCTTTGATAAAGAGACCACAAATATGTGCTAGAGGAAAGGCAGCCTCTTTCATAAGTAGTTCTGGGAAAACTGGGTGTCCACATACAGAAGATGTCTTTCACTGTGTACTAAACTAAAATCAGAATGGATCAAAGACCTAAACTTTAAAACAGGCCAGCAAGATAGCTCAACAGACTAAGCACCTGCTTAGAGAAGTGCAGGGACCAAGGTTCAACCCCCAGTTCCATATGCTACACCAGTCCCACCCTTGGGGCCTGCTGAGCCAGCAACCAAGTCTGGGCATAGTGTCCCAAGCCTGTAATGCAGCACTGGGGAAGATGAAAAGAGGAGGATCACTATAAGTTGGGGCTGCGTAGTGAGACTCTGTATCATATACATCAATGAAATAAATAAATAAATTTTAAAACACAATCATCTGCTGGGGATATAGCTAGGCAACACCCATCCTTCCCAGCAAGCATAAGCTCCTGAGTTCAATTCTGGGTACAAAAAAAAAGAAAGAAAGAAAGAAAAGAATAAAATATATACATACACACATACACATAGTAAAAACAGGAATATTTAACCTGCTCAAAGATAAAATATGTAAAAAAATTCATGATCACATAGGTATAAACATGTGCTTTCTGAGCAAAACACCAATCACAAAAGAAATAACATCAACAGTGAACAAAAGGAATCATGTAAAATTTAAGTTTCTGCACAGGCAAGGAAACAGCCAGCAGAGAGAAAAGACAGCATACAGATTGGGGGTGGGAAGATTTGTCATCTGTACCTTGGAATAATATGTGGAATATATAAAAAATTCAAAAAATTAGAAAATCCCCAAAAAAATATTGAGCAAAAAGAACACACGTGAAGTGAACAGACACTTCTCAGAAGAATGAATGGCCAACAAATACATGAAAAATTCAATATCGCTAGCCATTTGAAATGCAAATTAAAACACTTAAATTCTGTCTGCTCCGAAAAGAATAGTTATCTGCGAGAAATCAAATAACGAATGCTGGTGTGGCTATAGTGGGAAGGAGAACTTTCTACACTGATGATAAGAATGTAAATAGGTACAACTATTATGGCAATCGGTATGGAGATTCCTCAAAAAACTAAAACTAAGCATTCCATACAACCCAGCTATTCCTCTTCGATGTATCTTCAAGTTCAAGGTATATGAAAGTATATAGGTATACCTATTCATTCAGTGCTATGAGTTGGGCACTGTCACTGTGCTTTAAGGAGGGAATATAACAGCGTCATCAGAGCTGTTGGCACAGCTGCATAATTTAGCTATATCATGGAAATAGCCCATACATTCATCAAAGATGAATAGATGAAGGAAATATGGAGCTGATCCATGCACTGTCATGGAGCACTGCTCTGCCATAAGAAAGGGTATGATGGAGGCATTTGTAGGAAAATGGATGATCCTGGAGGCCACAAGGCTAAGTGACGTAAATCAGATATGCACGCTTAGGTGTTACATGGTTTGTTTTTACAGCAAGCCCAGAATATATGCAATCACAAAATAACAGGTAGATAATTGGAAATATGGAAATCACCATCTATAAAATAACCCCAACAGAATTCACCTTCCTACTGTTTTCATCTAATGACGTTCCACTTAACCCTTCTCCTCCCATTGGCGAGCTTTTTCTCTTATCCCTTCCTCTCCACTTCTACATGCAACATGCCAGAGGAAGCCCTGACAGCAATTCAACATAGTCTGCTAGAGGTATTGACAACAGAGTGAAATAATCAAAACAAGGTGTAATGTTTAGGATCAGTTTACACTGGACTCTGATGACACTGTTATATCCAATCGATATTCTCTCCCTAAAGCCTAGTGACAGGCAGAAGGGTATAAACATGAAGTATAAAAAGTAAAGCCGTATTAACATGCTGAGTTGTAAATGGCTCAAGTCAACAACTTCTGACATTGCTAGTCCTACAGAAAACCCACTACTATTATGGACTACTGGACTATATTGAAATGTTTTGCTGAATCCATGCACCTACAACATTTAAATGACAATAGAATAGACCTTCTCTGACAACACTAAAAAAAGAAGGGGATATAAATGAAGGACCATTTTGTATCTCTATATTCAAAAGTTAGGATAGATATACAGCTACTTTCTCTTAATTCAATGAATAGAAAGATATGTTCTAATAGTGTTTGTGGACAGGATATCATGTCTACATCTTGTACTATGAGTAACCACTATGAATACCACAATATGCAACGTATTAATTATTTAAACTGTCCTACTAATCGGTTTTGAAACTGTCTCATTGCTATTTGTTTCTCAATAAAATTGTTCATAGTGACAGGGTCCAACTCAGTTAAGTTGAATAGGTGGAGGGCATAGACAGTATCACTAGACAAATAAAGCCAAGAGCATATTACTAGAAAAATAAATAAATAAAGAGGTCATCATATCAACAACGAACTGTCTTTACTTTATTGGACCTCAAGCCTCAGCATCAAAAGAAAAGAGAAATATGAAATAACAACTCAACAGAATGACCCTAAACTTACCTAACTCTAACAAAACAGGTCCAAGTGGATCAATGGACAGAAAAGCAAGTATCAATAACCAAGTTGTACAAAACAAAAGCAAGTAAGTAAACTTGGCAAGTTAAAAGAGGACATAATTGCTAGCCTAGCCCCCGAGGCACGCTGAGCTGGCCACAGAGTCCTGGTATGCTGGTGCATGCCTGTAATCCCAGTGCTGCAGAGGCCAAAAAAGGGAGGATCACTATGAATCCAAGCTGCCTAGTGATACCCTGTAACAACCAAATACATTAAAACAGAAAATTAAAAAAGAGAACTTAAGACAAGAGATGGTAAAACTAACATTCAATTGACCAATGTGGACATAGGCAAAGGAAATTTTAAAATTGGAAAATTTGACCAAAACAGTTCAGCCCACAGATGAAAACTCTGCCGAGGACTTATGTCCATGAAAAAGTGTCATACACAAATTCTAAAGAAGGGGCTAGGGAGGTAGCTCAGCGGTCTAAGTGCTTGTCTGGCACTTAGACAAGAAAGACCCAGCTTTGATCCCCTGTACTGCATGCCAGTGCTTGCCCCAGAATCCCAGGCATACCATGCCAGCCCCAAGACCAGGTGTGGTGTCACATTCCAGTAATCCCAGTGCCAGGGAGGCTGAGACAGGAGGATTACTATGAGTCTGAGCTGCTTAAGAGACCCTGTAACAAATAAATAAGTAAATAAATGAACTTTTTTTAAAAAAAGAAATTCTTGATATAAAGACTTCCATAGAATTCATGAACTGCAGGGCCGACCAAAGAACTCAGCATATTAAAGCACCCGCAAGCAGAGGCTGGGGGTTCCATCCCCGGGCCTGCCATGCAGTCCCCGCCCCCAGGGGGTGCTGACATGGTAATTGAGATTGGGCATGGTGGCACATGCCTGTAATCCCAGCTCTTGGGAGGCTGTAAACAGGAGAATCACTATGAATCTGATCTAGTAGTGAGACCCTGAACACCCTGAAGACCCTTCC